TATTGTTGATCTGGTTGTGCAAAATATGGTTGGCCACGTTGCCATGTCTGTTGTTGTTCTCGAGGTTGATTGTACTGCTGATGAGATTGCCATGTCTGTTGCTGGTCCCGAGGTTGATTGTACTGCTGATGAGACTGCCATGTCTGTTGCTGGTCCCGGGGTTGATTATACTGCTGATGAGATTGCTGCGGAGCAGGTTGCCCTCTGAATCCACCACCTCCTCGACCACGACCTCGTTGGGCAGCTAAAATGAATAGGTGCAAATTATCTGTGGAAAAGTCCGGATAGCTTATAAAGTCGAAGAGATTTCCGAGACAAATGCAAAACCCACGAGGAATGACGAACAAAATAAGAGAGATTTGTTAAAGAAGATGTTCTTTTAAAATGTTATATATATATATATATATATATGGAAACAGGGAAAAAAAAAGAAAAAAAGAGAGCGTTAATTTCAAGTGATACCATTAAAACATATTGGCGAATTTCAACTCACCTGCTTGCTCTCGTGCAATGTCTCCTGTCATCTCGTTGGTACGTCCACCACGGTCAGCAGGTCTTGGGGCTAATGCAAGAGGATTTGGCATGGATCGCGTATTTTTTCTAGAGATGAATGATCTCTTTATAGAGATGATGATGAAAAAAAATTCGTACTTACCTCACTCTAGCGTTACTTGCTTGTTCGACTCTTAGCAGATCATGGCTTGCAGCTAATAGACATGCTACATCCGGTGGTGTCACATGCGACATTGCTTCTCGTCGCTTAGCAAAAAGGTCTCGAATCTGTTTTTCACGAGATTTGAGCCTGTCACACCTAGGCTATGTCTATCATACACGGCACTGCAAGATATCAAAATATCATGCTATTAAGCCAAATATTTGGACCTACGACTGGACAATGTTAGGAAGGTCAGCAATAAAAAGAATTATGGGCAAATCTGAAGCTATGTTATTTATGATATTTCACGTTACTTACCACAAGAATGAGTTCACTGTAACATCAATTCGTTTGAGGAGAAGGAGGGATCGAGAACGACAATTTTGAGCTGTTTCGTTGACAACCTGAAAAGGAAATTGGAAAACGGTGACATATTTAGTGAAATGTTTAAAAAAATGCCAATCAAGATATTAACAAGACCTTGTCCACTTTCCTCCATTGTTTTGCGTCTAATTTGGCAGTGAAAATAGGAGTCGGACGTTCTACACAGCTTTGTAATCGTGCATCTGTCTGAAAGAAGAAAGATAGGGCAA